GGCACTGGGAGATTCAAATATGAGAATATATATAATAAAATGCTTTGAAAGCCTTTGAACCCATGGGAAATGTCAGCACTTACTCCTTGAAGTGCATTTGGGATTAAACAAAAATAAACCAGTCATTCACCAATGTATACAAGGTATATTGGAAAGAGGACAGAGCTTGCAGTTAGATTGGAAACCTTGGGATACCCCTTACTTCCAGTGTTACCATGAGCAAGTCACTGTATAGGTCCATGGTATTAACATCTGGAGGGGACCTTTGGGAAGAGCCAGCCCTTATTAGATAGAAATAACTGAAGTCCAGGACGGTCCAAGGACCCCAGGAGAAAAAGGGCAGAGTCAAAACTGAAACACAGGTAGGTCATTTGACTCCAAATCCATTTTAGTGCTCTGTCTACTAGACCATCAAGGCTCCTTGGAGCCTAAATTACTTCATCTGCAAAATGCAGACAATAATCCACACGTACCCTCCTCCCCAGGATAGCATGAGGAAAGTACCACAGAAGGACCTATGATCAGTAGGTTCAATCCAACAAGCCTTTACCAAGTTCCTACTGTGTTCCAAGGCCTGTGCTGGGTACTAGGGTCAAACACCAAAACAAAATTTTGGGAAGAATATTTTCTTTTTAAAAATTCGCTAGGATGATGAAGGTAACAGTGAGAATGGCTATTCGACAGGGTAAATTCAAGAAATCACATCTCATTGTTTTGCTTTGAATTAGTATCTAGCTCAACAATCTTTTTTTTTAACTAAGCAAATAGCATACTTCTGTCTCATAGAGGATACTGATTCCAAACCTACACAGCAAAATGCTCATATGAACCTAAGTGAATTATCTTAATAACAGCTGCTAGAATTGTGCCTTGAACACAGTAGGTCTATAATAAGGGTGTGGTCTGTAGTAAGTAGATTCCCCATAAAACATCTGTTAACCAATAATTTGTCCCCCATCACTAGGTTCAGAGAACTTACTGTGGCAATGAGAAAGCTATTTTTCTACCATGAGAAAGGAAGGAAGGAAGGCCAGCTTTTTGTCTTGCTGGGATCCTATTACAATTCATCTTTAATTTCTTGGAAATTTAATGCATTTAGTAAAAGCTAAAAAGTCAGATCTTAAAATAGCCCACAAAGATCAAGATTTGACTTTGCAAGGGCCAAGAAATACAAAGATATTGGCATCCTTCCTTACCACATACCACTTCTGCACTACAGACAGAAGATCTAAGACTTAGATGTCAGTGTATTATTACACAGGCTGACAATGGGAGAGGGGACGGTAGATTCATTACGAATATTACACCAGAAAAACTAGTCCAAAATCCCAATACATTCTAAGTCAAACCTTTCCAAAAACTCAATGTTATGGGTTTGTATGGGGGAAGGGTGAGAGCATTAAAGGGTCAGACTCAGAGGGATGGTTATGGCAAGGGTGACAAAAGCTGCAAAGTGGGTGATTTGGTGCCCCGAGGAGTGAATTAACCCTAGTGGAAGTCAAATAGTCCAATACCCTCATTTTACAGATGAAGAAACTGAGGCCCAGGTGTGTTAAATCATTGTTCACACAGGTAATAAGCGCCAAAGGTGAGACTGGAACCCAGGGTGCGGACCGATAGATGAAGTACACAGACTCCCAAACACCTTGGACCTCAGTTTCCTGACCAGGAAAATAAGAGAGTTAGACTAGACAGCCTTTAAGATCCCTTCCAATTCTAGTGCTCTGGCCTCAGATCTTTCTGACCACTGATAGATGCTCCAAAGGAATGAAAGCCAGAACCCGGAACATTCCAGGCATTTCAGTGGAAGGAAAATCCTGACTGCTCGGCTGCAATTATGGAAGCTTCCCACCAGAGCTGGGCCCCAGACTCTGGTTGGATTTTCTGTAATTGCCCCGGATCTTTCCCCTATTTTATTAACATTCAGTGCTTTTCAGTAATTCAGACTATGCCTGTAAGGCCTCAGACTAATGCAATTCCTGGCTGCATTGTATCAGATCTGAAAGCCACAAAACCCTCCTCAAAACCATAATGGGTATCACCTGAAGCCCAGGGTTGGAGGGAGGAAAGCAGGAACTCCACCACTGAACCCCAAGCCAGCCGATCAATACTCACCCCCCACTACCCCCCAAGAAAGGAGGGAGTCCCAAGCCCCCAGAGCTTTTAACTTGCAGCAACAGCTCCCACCCGCCCACCCTGGGATGTTTTTATTCTAAGTAATTGCCTGGGCTTTACTTTGCTTACCTCTTTGAAAGGCACTTGTCTAAAGACTGAGCAGTTAATTACTGTTTTCCTCTTAGGTCTATGATTACCAAGATGCAAAAGACCGATTAAAGAGGGCTGGAACCAGGACTCAGTGGTTGGAGTCTCATCGCAACGAGTAAAGGATGCAGGCAGAAGGTGTAGCTTGCTGCAAATTAATTATTTGGGAAAAACAAAGCAGCCATTTCTGGGGTGACTGCACGAACACAAAATACAGCTAAGAGTTTTGTTTTTCCTTCAGCAAGGGGGAGAAAGATGGTTAGAATGGGGACACCTGTCTTTGTTCTCCTAGCGAATACTTGTACATCTGCTACCTTCACACCTGGCTGTCATCAGCCTTTCCTTACTGCACATTACAGCCTTTGGCTAACTCCCCATCTCCTATGCCCAGACATTTGGCCTGGCTGAGACTCCCTACAGCTCAAGCACCGTCTTCTGTAGGAAGCCTCTCCTGGTTGCCCTTTTTCTAAGTGTGAATGCCTCCCCCCCAAAAACTACCTGCTACCTCTTTGTAGAGATCCTCAGACAAAGTACAAGCTGGGGGGCAGCAACAATTCAATTTTCGTCTTTTTCTGCCCAGAATCTGACACAAAGTAGCTGCTTGAGAAATGCTAGCACACAAGTTGCTGTATTATCAGTCTGTCAGTCAGTAAGCCCTTATTAATCACCAACTGTGTGCTAAGTGCTGAGAAAAAGACTGAGAAGACAGGCCCTGCCTATCAGGAGCCCCCAGTCTAACGGAGGAAACAACAGGGAAATAAATATGTGCAGACAAACTCTAGACAGGAAAAACTGGCGATAATTAAGAGAGGGAGGGCACTAGAAGTAAGAGGGCTGGGAAAAGCTTCCCATACAAGGTGGGATTCTAGTTGGGACTCACAGGGAGCCAGTAGGGAGAGGTAAGGAGCAAGAGTGTTCCAGGCCTGGGGGACAGCCAAAGAAAATGCCCAGAGCTCAGACATGGAAGGGCTCATTTGTGGAGCAGCCAAAAGGCCAGTGCCACTGTATGAAAGAGTTTGTGCTGGGGAGTACGGGGTAAGAAGACTGGAAAGGTAGGAGGGGACCAGGTTATCATTAGCTAGAGTAAGCCGCAATGGAAATCTAGAAAATAGTCAGCTAAGGCCTGGAAACTCTTCACTGTCTCTCGGTCAAGTCCAACCCCCTCCTTCTACAGATGAGGAAACAGAGGCACAGAGAGATTAACCTATTTAGCCAAGGTCACACAGGGACCAAATGGCAAACGTGGGATTCCAACCCAGGGCTTCCTGACTCCAAGTCCAGAACTTTATCGGCTACTTCAGGCTGCTTCTCATGCTCAGGCTTTTCTTATACACAAACAAACGAGGCAGATGTATAGAAAAGGACGCTGCAGAGCCTAGGCGAAGGCCCAGGGCATCATGAGCCCAGAATTCAAACTGCACCTCTGCTAAGGAGGCCCTGTTCAGTGACTGTGCAAAGCTGAGCCTCAATTTCTCTGCAGGTAAAAATGAGGGGGCTGTATTCTGCCTGGGCACTGTCCCTTACACCTCCAGCTCTGGGATGCCCGATCTAGGACAAGACCCCGACCAACCTTAAAGCACAACATAGTTCACCTGCTGAACAGAATTCTGGGACATCCATCCCCTCCTGGAAAACCTTTGGCCTCAGGACGAGCTACAAAGTCTCAGCCTGGCCCACCACATCTGGGCTCCAAACGACACACTGTAGTCTGGCCACCAGGGAGTACTGGTTGCTCCCTAATCTCCTGCAGGATTCCTGGCTGGGGTCCAGCCTGAAGCACATCCCTCCCTCCCTTCACCTCAGGACTCAGTAGGCCCCACCCTCTAGCGAGCCCCTAAAGAGACTTCCTCTGGGGAATGGGAATCTATATCAGAGTCATGGGATCTCAGACCTCAGAGGTCATCTAATACAACCTTTTCTATTACATAAAGGGAAACTGAGTCAAGTACAGAGGGGCGGAGGACTGGCTTGGGAGGCAGAGGTCCTGAGGCAAACCTTACTTCTGCTCCTTCCTCCCTGTGTGACCTCATATAACCTTTTGGGGGCTTATTTCTCTGCTTTTTAAAGTGAGGGGACTGCTAACTGATAACCTCCAAGGTCCTCCAAGGTCTCCAAATCTGTGATCCTCTAAGCGATTTGCCCCAAGCCGGACAGGTAGTAAAAAAAAGTTGGATTTGAGCCCAGGTCTGGATTCCAGACTCACTGTACCACACAGCCTTCCTCTAGGAACACTGATCTACTAATCCAGGTTCATCATCCCCCAAAGGAGAAAAAGGAACGTGGGGGAGATGGGGATGAGGCTTCTCCTCCTCACCATGCCTGGCCCCCCTAGCTCTCCGCTTGGACAGCTGGAGGAGGAAGAAAAGCTAGATCTGCAACCCTCCCCTTCCTACTCCCTGACCCACGATGGAGTCAGGTAGCAGCTAAATGTCCTCAAGTGAGGGAGAGGTCACCTGGGGCCACTGAGAATAAATGAATGAATGAGTGAGAAAATGAATGAATGAATAAATGACTCCCAGTGGCATCTACAGGAGACCAGGTGCCAGGGTGGGGAGGGAAGATTGCGAGCCTCATTCCCAGACCCTCATTCCCAGACCCCCCCCCCCAGCAGCCCACCCCCTCACCCCATCCAAGTCCCTTCCCGAGCTTCCAGAACCATCCCCAGCTCTTCCTTTGCTTTCTTCCCGAGCCCATGACGGCCAGGCCAGCCCCACTGGGCCCCAAGGACACAGCCTGACCTTTCTGCGGGGAGCCACCGATGCTCTCGCTGCTGGATTGCATGTCCAGGGCGGCCCCTCTTGAGGCTGCTGAAATAGCCCCGAGAGCGGGTGAAGCTGCCACGGGGGCCCCTGCCGTTGGGGCTGGAGAATGGGGTCGAGGTGCCGTCCTTTCTGGCGAAGATGCCGCTGAAGAAGCGCAGCAGCCGATGCTCCGGAGGTCCCAGGGAGGCCCCGGTGAAGAGGCCCCGGCCCCCGACGGCCTGGGCCTGGGCCCGCTCCAGCCGCTGCAGGTCGCTGTTATCCAACGTGCGGTTTTTGCTCTTGCTGCGCTCCCAGCGCTCCAGTTCCGACAGTGCCAGTGGGTCCACCTTGCTGAGCACCTCGCCCACGTCCAAGGTGTTGCGCTTCTCCGAGGGCTGGGGCTGGAGCTGGGGCTGGGGCTGGGGCAGGGGCAGGGGCAGAGGCAGGGCCAAGGGCAGAGGCCCCTCCGGGGCTCCGGGGCCCATCTCGGCCGCAGCCGAGTCCAGAGCATCCCTGGGATCTCCTGAGGCCCAGAGGGGCTCCCCTTCGGGCGGCTGGTGCAGGCAGCCGGAGCTACGGTGGTGCTTGTCCCGGGAGAGGGCCCGCAGCCGCAGCACGTCCCCGCCCGGCCAGTGGCGGAAGCTGAGGCTCCTCCGAAGGAGCCGCTGGGGTGGCCCTACGGATTGAGGAGCTCTAGAGCTCTGCTCCTCCACCTCCAAGGCGAGGACTTCCTCGGGGCTGCTTAGCTCTGCCCCGGCCTCGGGAAGGGGGCTAGTAGTCCTGGGCCCCCCTACAAATCCTGGGCTGCCCAGGTCCAGCTGCTCCTCGTCGTCGTCGTCGTCGTCGTCGTCCTCCTCCTCCTCCTCCTCCTCTCCTCCTCCTGCTCGTCGCCGTAGCCCCCTGAGGGGCTCCTGGGCCTACAGCCCGACGGTTCAGCTGCCTCAGCATGGGGCGTTCTCCCCGACAAGGAGCCTTGCTGGAAGCACTCTGGCCGACCAGGCACCTTGAGGCGGCCCAGCTCCAACTGGCCAGTGCTGCGGGTCCGAAAGCTCCGGGGACTAGGAACACGGTCCTCTCCCTCCCTCTCTTCCAGGCTGTCCTCCTCCTCTGCCAGGTCCTCTCCCGCCTCTTCCACCAGCAGGCCGCCCCGGGGCAGACTGGCCGTGGTCGTGGGCAGCCTCCGTCGCCGCTGGTGCTGCCGTGGAGCCCCTGGCCCCTGAGTGCCCGCCGCGTCTCCCATAGTCCCTGGGGGTGGCGACGGCGGCTGCAGCAGCTCCTTCTTCACCATGGTCACAGAGATGCGGTAGACGGTCTTCCTCTGGGGCGTCCCCCGCTGCATGGTGGCCGGGCCCGGCTCGGGACTGCTGCTGCTGCTGCTGCCGCCGCCGCCGTCCAGCAGGTACATACCGGTTCCCGGGACTCCTGTAGGGAGGCACCTCGCGACCGCCTCCGGCTCAGGCAGCCTGCTGTCGGGCGAGCATCCCGGCCCTGGCACCCGGTTCCCGCTCGGGGAAGGGGCTGCAGAAGGAGATGTCCGCTTCCTCGGAATCCTTCTCTCTTCCTCCTCCTCGCGGTCCTGAGCCTGTCTGTCCGCCGCTGTCCTTGCGGGTGGGGGGCTAATGCGGCACGTCGGGCTCCAGCAGCGCCCCCGGGACTGGGGTGTCCATGACCGGGAAAACGACCGTGCGCCCGCCCCGCCCTGCAGAACCAGAACCAGAACCCGAGCCGAAGCTGAGCTGCCCTTCAGGAGAAGGCGGGAGGGAAATCCGAGGCGGGCAATGGCCTGGGAAGAGGGGGCGGACCCTGCAGGCAGGCTCGGAGGACTGATGGATGGATGAACTGATGGACGAACAGCCGGACTGTGAGTCAAGCTCAGCTGCCGGCTCGGAGGCTGGCGGCGGCTGCTGCGCTGCTGCTGCTGCTGCTTTTGCTGCCGCCGATGCCGCCGCAGCCGCCTCCTCTGCTGCTGCTGCTGCTGCTGCTGCTGCTGCTGCTGCCGCCGCCGCCGGGGGCGGGGTGGGGGGCGATGCGGAGGAAGGGGGGCGCTGAGGGGGGGGTCTCAGGCTGCGGCCGGAGCAGCTGCTGCTGCTGCTGCGACTGCGGCTGGGGCTGCTATTGCTGCCGCGCTCGCGGCGGGCGGTGCGGGGCCCGCGGGCGGCCGCCTCATTGTCTCGGGCGCCTCTGGGCCCGCCCGTTCGCACCCGGGCCGCCCTGGCCCGGCCCGCTTCAGGCCCGAGGCCCCGCCCCCCTCGGCCAGCCCCGGGCTCAGGCAGGGGCGGCTATGGGGGGCCGAGGGCTGAGAGCGAGGCAGGGGCGGCCGTGCTCCCGCCCAGCATCCTCCCGCGGGCACGCAGGGCTCCCGGTCCCCCGGGCCGGGTGCGGATGAGGGGCGGAGCAGAGCCACAGCTGCCGCCGAAGGAGCGAGCAAGCAGCTAGCGAGCGGCGACGGCGGCGGCGCCGAGCTAGCGAGGGAGCTCGGGCTCCCAGGGAAGCGCGGCAGCCGCGGAAGCGCCGGACTGGATTCCCGCCTTCGCTGCGGGAAGGGAGCCAGCCAAGAGTGGTAGCAGAGGCGGAGGAGCGCAGCCCTCTCTTTATTCCCCCCCCGCAGAGAAGAACTCTCCGCAGGACTCGGGCCCTGCGGCAGACTCGGAACGGGCGGGGGTGGGAGGAGGGTGAGAAGCAATACACCCCCCAAGGTCGTCCAGGGTGAAAAGGCCCCCATAACCCCCAGGAAGGGAAAGGAACAAACATTTCTTAAGCTCTTAACTCATTTGATCCTCACAACAATCCCGAGAGGGAGGGGCTATTAGGATACTCATTTTACAGATAAGAACACTGAGGCAGACAGGCTCAGTTACTCGTCCAGGTTCACACAGGTCACGTTTGAACTAGCGTCTTCCTGAATCCGGGCCTAGCATTCTGTCCGCGGTACCACCTAGCACTGAATGAATGCCAGTAAAACCGGAAAGGGAATGTGATTTGATTGTAACAGTGCCTATGAAGAGAACAGAGTAGCAGAAGAAGATTATCATCTGATACAAATGAAGTAAACAGAATGACCTCTGACTGGAGCTCTCTGATCCCATGAACCTCTGCAGAATTCCTGGCTTGTAAATTCCTTATCAACAACCAATAGGTATTTACGGATTGCCTGCTGTACCATACCAGGCACCATGCTGAGCTCTGATGATTCGCTGACAAAAAAACCAAACAGTCCCTTCCCTCAATGCGCTTACAATGTAGCGCTATAGGGGCATAATACAACGTTCCATTTCCTTTCTGGAGCCTCCCCTCCCCCAGCCAAGCCTCCCGATTTTAGACCAACTGCACACACTAACTCAGCTGCTGGTACGATAAAGGGAAGAGCTTTGCCCTGCAGCTAACTGACCGGGAAACATGCCACCAGATTTTATAAATGAAACCAAAAGATGAAAGAAAGTTAAGGCTGAATGTAAGCTCCCTGAGGTCCGGAAATGTTTCATTTTGTCTTTGTGTCTCGAGTGCCTAGCACCATATCCTGAGCATGGACTGGTTGATGGAATCCTGCCAAGGAGTCTACCACAACTGAGTAGGCACTCTCTTGATGGGCTAGGTATAACAAACCGATCCCCAGGCCAGCCTGCCAACCTTCTGGGGATGACCCCTTTCCCTCTTAGCTACCTGGGCAGGGCTTCTGAGAAAAGCTCAGTCCTGGAGAGGCAATGTGATGTGAGAAGAAAAGTACTAGATTGGAAATTAAGGATTGAGAAAGGTTTCCTGCCCCTGCTACTGTATACTCTGACCTCATGCAAGACACTCACTCCTCTGCTCTGGATACGTTTCTGCATTTGTGCAATGAAGGGATAGAATCAGAGTACTTCTAAGTCTATGATCTTTTGCTGGAGCAGCCAAACCTTCAAGGAACCTATGGCTCTCCTCCTCCTGCATTAAACTGATGCAGGAAGGATGTAATGTTTAAAATCAATATGCCCCTTTTTCCCTCTTTCCAACTCTTCATGAAGCTTAAAAGAAAATCTAGCAACTGGACACACAAGAATCAATCTCTTCAAAAACTCACTTCCTCTACACTTTAGCAGCACCAAATGAAAACTGTCTTGTCTTCAGAGTGTGATGCCATGGGCAGCTGTCATGCCATGTGTCTCTCCTGGAGGAGAGTTCTGAAATAGGCTTAAAAACAATAACAAAAGAGAAAATGACAAAAAGCAAAGCTTTTCTGCTGGAAGTGGAATGAGGGGGCCTGTTTGGGGGTGAAGGACTTGGCTTCCAATTCCAGCTTCCTCACCTATAGGTGACCTTGAGCAGACTCAGTGTCTGTGAGCGTCAGCTTCTTCCTCTGTATAAATGAGGGACTCCTAAGGCCCCTGACAGTACAAAATCCTATGAACCCCCAAACACATGACCATCGGGTGATTTGAAGACATCAGCCCAGCAAGAATGAATAAACTCAGAGCTGCAGGGGAACCTCCAGGCCTCTCCCTCATTTTACAAGTAAGGAAACTGAGGCCCAGAGAGTACTGCCTGTCCAAGGTCACATAGGTAGGAAGTAGCAGAGCCAAGATTCAAACCCTCTGGCTCTCATTTCAGACCCAGTGAGGGCTCTTTCTCCTCCTTCAAATTATCACAAGGAACTTTTCTGAGCAGAAAATGGAAGCCCTGAGATGGGGACTGAACTCACCATGCCTTCAAGAATCATTAATTTAGACCTAGAAGGATCCTGAGAGTCCAAATCCTTAAGTTTACAGGAAAATGAGTTTTAAGAAACTGAGGCCCAGAGGGGAGAAATCCTACAGCAAAGGCAGAACTAGGACAGGCTGCAAATACTCAGTTACACTCAGGGTCCATTACACTGTATTATGGGGGTGTTCAGTCTTTTCAGTCCTGTGCACACTTCATGACTCCATTTGGGGTTTTCTTGGCAAAAATACAGGAGTGGTTTTGCCATTTTCTTCTTCAGACATACTATCTCTAGCATTTCACCAAGGAGGAAACTGAGGCCAGAGATGGAATCCTGACCCAGGGCCACAGGCCTGATAAATCTTAGCAATGGAGCTAGAACCTAGGACCTCTGACTCCTAATCTGGTGCCCTTTCTACTCCCCCTTGGCACCTCCATTCTTCATACAGCTTATATATTTTATTATTTTATTAATTTGTTTTTAGTTTTCAACAATCACTTCCATAAGCTTTTTTTTTGGTGAGGCAATCAGGGTTAAGTGACTTGCCCAGGGTCACACAGCTAGTGTCATGTGTCTGAGACCAATTTGAACTCAGGTCCTCCTGACTCTAAGGCCAGAGCTCTATCTACTGTGCCACCTAGCTGCCCCCCTCTATAAAGCTTTTGAGTTTTAAATTTTTCTCTGCCTCCCTCCCCACTACCCTTCCCCAAGACGGTGCACAATCTGATATAGGCTCTACATACATATTCCTATTAAACATTTTCACATTAGTGATGTTGTAAGGAAGAATTAGAACCAGTAGGAGGAACCACCAGGAAGAGGAAACAAAACAAAACAGAAGAAAAAAACAGCAAATAGTCTGCTTCGATCTGCATTTAAACTCCATAGTTCTTTCTCTGGATGTGGATAGCATTTCCCATCAGAGACCTTTGGAGATGTCTTAGATTCTTGCATTGCTGAGAAGGGCTAAGTCTATCAGAGTTAGTCATCACTATCTTATTAATTTTTAGAACTGACACAGTAAACTTGTTTACTTGACCCAGCGGGGCCACGTCCAGCTGCTGCAAAGGAACCTGCTTCGGCAATGTGGCTCAGCAGAAAGCATCT